GGCCCCCAGGAGGCCTACAAGACGGCCCAAGACGGCCCAAGAGGCCTCTAAGAGGTCCTCCAGGAGGGCCCGAAGAGGCCAACATCACTGATGTTCCATAGGTTTTTGAAGGATTTTGGCATGTGCTTCTTCTCGACATTCCGACGACTCAAGACGGCCCAAGAGGCCCCCAAGATCGCCCCAAGATCGCCTACGAGGCCTCCAAGATGGCCCCATGACTGCCCAAGAGGCCCCCAAGACGGCCCCAAGAGGGCCCAAGAGGCCTCCAAGACGGCCAAGATGGTCCCCAAGACGGCTACGATGGCCCAAAGGTGCCTCCACGACGGCCCAAGATGCACACAAGACGGCCTAAGATGGCCTCAAGATGGCCCAAAACGGCCCAAGAGGCTGCCAAGAGGACTCCAAGACGACCCAAGGGGCCTCCAAGAGGTCCTCCAGGAAGGCCCGAAGAGGCCAAAATCATTGATTGCCCCTAGGTTCTTGAAGGATTGTGGCAGTTGCGCCTTTGCGGCTTTCCGACGGCCCACGACGGCCCCCGAGGTAGCCCAAAGATCGCCCAAGAGGCATCCGAGATGGCCCCATGGCGGCCCAGGAGGCCCCCAAGACGGCCCCAAGAGGGCCCCGAGACGGGCCAAGAGGCCCCCAAGACGCCCAAGATGGCCTCTAAGACGGCCCAGAAGCGCCCCAAGAGGGCTCCAAGTCGGCCCAGAGAGGCCCCTTAGACGGCCCGACGGCGTCAGACGTGCCAGGAACCCACCAAGATGGCCGAAGTTGGCTCGAAGCTCGCCCAAGACGGCCCAAGAGGCCTCCAAGAGGCCTCCAGGAAGGCCAGAAAATGCCAAAACACGTATTGTCCTTAGGTTGTTGATGGATGTTGACGGTTGCTTCGTGTCGGCCTTCCGACGGCCCGAGACGGCCCAAGAGCCCCCGAAGATCGGCCAAAGATCGCCCAAGAGGCCTCCAAGATGGCCCTAGAACGGCCCAAGAGGCCCCCAAGACGGCTCCAAGAGGCCCCCAAGATGTCCCAGGAGGCCCCCAAGACGCCCAAGATGGCCTCCAAGACGGCCCGAAGTCGGCCCAGCGAGAGCCCTCAAACAGCTTCCGACGGCGTCAGACGGGCCAGTGGCCCACCAATACGGCCGAAGGTGGCCTTAAGGTGGCCCAAGAAGCCTCCACGAGGGCCTCCAGGAAGGCCCGAAAAGGCTGGAGCACCCCCAAGTCAGCCCAGAAAGGCCCAAACGGCTTCCGACGGCGTCGGACGGGCCAGGAACCCATCAAGATGGCCAAAGATGGCTCGAAGCTCGCCAAAGACGGCCCAAGAGGTCTCCAAGAGGGCCTCCAGGAATGCCAGAAAAGCAGAAAACTGTGATTTTCCATAGGTGTTCGAAGGATGTTGACGTTTGCTTCGTGTCGGAAACCGACGGCCCGAGACGGCCCAAGAGCCTCTAAAGATCGCCCAAGGATCGCCCAAGAGGCCTCCAAGATGGCCCCAAAACGGCCCAAGAGGCCCCAAATACTGCCCCAAGATGCCTCCAAGACGGCTCAGGAGGCTTTGAAGACGCCCAAGATGGCCTCCAAGACGGCCCTGGAGCGTTCCAAGAGGGCCCCAAGTCGGCACAGAGAGGCCCCCCAAACGGCTTCCGACGGCGTCGGACGGGCCAGGGGCGCACCAAGACGACCGAAGGTGGAACTAAGATGGCCTTAGACGGCCCAAGAGGCCTCCAAGAGGGCCTCCACGAAGGCCCGAAAAGGCCAAAATCATTGATTTCCCATGAGCTGTTGAAGGATTGGGGCATTTGCTTTCTGTCGGCCTTCTGACGGCCCGAGACTGCCCAAGTGCCCCCAAAGATCGCCCAAGAGGCCAAAGATGGCCCCAAGAGGCCCCCAAGACGGCCAAAGAGGCCTCCAAGACGCTCAAGATGGCCTCCAAGACAGCCCAAGAGCCCTCCAAGACGTCCTCCAAGACGGCCCGAACGGGTCAAAATGGCGTTCAGGCGGCCAAGATGACCTTCAAGATGCCCACGTGTTTCCCGAAGGCTTTCCAAACCGATTCGGGGAACACATGGTCCGATAGCTTGGCAAGTCTGGCCTCAACGTTCGGCCACATAGGCGCTTCCACAAAGGCAGAGGGCGGCGGTGATTCGCCGTGGGCGTCTTCGATCCGCCGCCCCCTGTTGATTCATCACAAGGGTGCCCGGCGTGCTGAATGCTTTCGCTGTTGATTGTGGCTCTTTTTCCAAAAGAATCCCCCTGGGGCTTCGGGCGATCCCGCCGGCCACCGGAAGGGCGCGCAACAGGTGGTTCCAAAGGGTTTTCGGCTCCAGACGGCTCCAAGATGGCCTCCAAGATGCCCAAGATGGCCCAAGATGGCCTCCAAGTTCGCCCAAGATGGTCCACGATGACCTCGAAGACGGCCCAAGAGAGTCCAGGATGCCTCCGAGTTCGCACAAGAAGCACCTAAGACGGCCCAAGACGGCCCCAAAGGCCCCAAGACGGCCCAAGAGGCCAACAAGACACCCAAGATAGCCTCCAAGACGGCCAAGATGGCCTCCAAGATGCCTAGAAGACGCCCAAGATGGCCGTCAAGACGGCTAAGATGGCCCGAAGATGCACCCAAGACGGCCCAAGCTGGCCTCAAGATGGCCTAAGACGGCCCTGTAGACCCGCAAGAGGCCTCCAAGACGGCCCAAGAGCCCTCCAAGACTTCTTCCAGGAAGGCCCGAAAGGGCCAAAATCATTGGATTGCCTTAGGTGTTTCAAGGATTGTGGCTTTTGCTCCATTTCAGCTCTCCGACGGCCCAAGACGGCCCAAGCGGCCCCCAACATCGACCCAAGAGCGCCCAAGAGGCCTCCAAGATGGCCCCATGACGGCCCAAGAGGTCCCCATGACCGCCCCAAGAAGGCCCCAAGACGGCCCAAGACGCCCCGAAGACGCCCAAGACAGCCTCCAAGACGGCCAATATGGCCTCCAAGATGCCTCCAAGACGGCCAAGAAGGCCTCCAAGACAGCGAAGATGGCCAAAACATGCACCCAAGACGGCCCCAGGTGGCCTGAAGATGGCCTTCGACTTCCAGAAAGGCCCGCCAGAGTCCTCCAAGACGACCCAAGACCCCTCCAAGACGTCCTCCAGGAGGCCCGAAAGCTCAGAAACCACCTGGTCCGATAGCTCGCCCGACTCGGTGTTCCCCGAAGGCTTTCGAAACCCACTCGGGGAACGTGGCCCGATAGCTTGGCCGAGCTCAAACCCAACTTTCGGCCACGAATGTGGTTCCAAAAAGGCAGGGGGCGGCGGTGATTCGCCGTAGGCGTCTTCGATCCGCCGCCTCCCTTTGGCTTGCCACAGGGGTGCCCGACTTGCTGAACTTCTTACGACTTTGTTGTGTTTCTTCCCACACACACACAACAAAAAAAAGCTCTCCCCTGGGGCTTCGGCCCGTCCCCCCGGCCATCCGGAAGGGACCGAAAAGGAGCACATCGTGCACAACACATCTCCAAGACGGCTCAAGATGGCCTCCGAGAGGACAAGATGGCTCCCAAGTTCGCCCAAGAAGGTCCAAGATGGCCTCCGAGACATCCCAAGAGGATCCGAGATACCTCCAAGCCCGCCCAAGATACCGCCAAGACGCCCCAGCTGGCTCCAGGATGGCCCAAGACGCTACGAGACGCCCCCAAGAGACCTCCAAGACGGCCCAATATGTCTCCAAGAGGCCCTCCAGAAAGGCCCCAAAGGCCAAAATCACTGATTCTTCTTAGGTGTTTGAAGGGTTTGGGAAATTGCTTGTTGCTCGGCCTCACAACGGCCCCGAGACGGCCCAAGAGCCCGCAAAGATTGCCCCAAGATCGCCGGCCCCCAAGGTGGTCCCAGAACGGCCCAAGAGGTCCCCAAGGCGGCCCCAAGAGGGACCTAAGACAGCCCAAGAGGCCTCCAAGACGCCCAAGACCGCCCCAAGAGGGCCCCAAGTCGGCCCAGAGAGGCCGCCAAAACGGCTTCCGACGGCTTCCGACGGGCCAGGGGGGCCATCAAGACGGCCCGAGATGGCTCTAAGATTTACCAAGGCGGCACAAGAGGCCCCCAAGATGCCTCCAAGACGGCCCAAGAGGCCCCCAAGAGGGCGTCCAGGAAGGCCCGAAGAGGACAAAATCGGTTATTTCCCTCAGGTATTTGAACGATGTTGGCAGTTGCGTCTGTTCGGCCTTCCGACGGCCCGAGACGGCCCAAGAGCTCCCAAAGATCGCCCCAAGATCGCCCAAGAGGCCTCCAAGATGGTCCCAGAACGGCCCAAAAGGCCCCCAAGACGGCCCCAAGGAGCCCCAAGACATCCCAAGAGGCCTGTAAGACGCCATAGATGGCCTCCAAAGCAGCCCTGGAGCACCCCAAGAGGATCCTGAGACAGCCCAGAGAGAGACCCCCCCAAACGGCTTCCGACGGCGTCAGACGGGCCTGGAGCCCACCAAGACGGCCCAAGATGGCTCTAAGATTTCCCAAGGCAGCCCCTGAGGCCCCCAAGAGGTCACCAAGACGGCCCACCCAATAGGGCGTCCAGGAAGGCCCGAAGAGACCAAAATCATTGATTTCCCATTGGTGTTTGGATGATTTGGGCATGTGCTTATTTTCGGCCTTCCGACAGCCGGAGACTGCCCAAGAGCCCCCAAGAGGCCCCGAAACGGCACCAAGACGGCCCCAGAGGCCTCCAAGACGCCCAAAATGGCCTCTAAGACGGCCCTGGTGCACGCCACAAGACGGCTTCCGACGGCGTCAGACGGGCCAGGAATGCCCTAAGACTGTCAAAGAGGCCTCCGAGAAGGCCTAAGGCCCAAGGCCCAAGGAGGCCTCGAAGATGCCTCCAAGAGGCAAATCGAATAAGCACACGCCAACATAATCCAAAATAGTCGAAGTGCCCCCAGACCATGGTTTGGCTATGTTCTATGCTTGACTGGTCCTCCTAGGCAGAGGGGCACGCCCGACCTAAGCCCAGCAGGCAACAGCCCGCGGGCACTCCTGGCCCCCGACGTGGCTGCCGTCAGGGCGCCCACCTCCGCCGAGGAGCACGGCCGGACGCGCCACCACCGCCATGGCGCGCACCTGCGCCGCGAGCCGCTCGGGGTGGTGCCACGCGCCAATGTCCCAGCGCGCGACCAGGTCCGCGTCGGTCTTCCAGGCGCCAAACCTCGGAGGAGGAAGAGGAACCCGTGCCTCTAGCCTTGGCCCCTCGTTCCCCTTTCTGGGCCTTCTGGGAGGCCCTCGTCGCCACCGCTGGATTCGCCTCGAAATCCTGGTCAGAACGCACTCCAGGAGAGGTCCGGGGAGTGGCGGTATCGGTACCTCTTCGGTCCCCCCAGAACCGGAACGGCGCGGTCGAGGGGAACTCCTCCTCGCCGTAGACGGCCAGGCCCTGGATGAGGGCTCCGTCGACCACGGCCTTCACGAGCTCGGCGGTGTCCGCGTGGGTCGAGTGGTAGACCAGGCGCAGCTCCCTGGGGCCCTCGTAGGTCTGCGCGCGGAAGCTCTCGACCGTGGTCTGCAGCCAGCCCAGGGTGCTCGGGCTGTCGGGCACCAGGGTGACGCACACGACCTTCGGGATCCTGCCCTGCCACTGCGCATCCCTCTCGCGGCGCAGCTGCCTCGGCGACACGGCGGCCACGCCGCCGCGCCCGCCCCAGAGCAGGGGCACGCCCCAGGACTCGCCGGCGAGGCTGGCCCAGCCGCCCTCCGGGAACGTCAGCGGGGGCGGCCCGGCCGAGCCCCGCAGGGAGGAGGGCGAGGCCTGCGCAGGGGCGGGCGGCGAGGCGGCGCCCCCGCCGCGCAGCGGGGAGGGCGCCGCCGCCGCGGCAGCCGCGGGCGGCGCGCGCAGCAGCTCGACGCAGGCGGCGTAGGGGCGGCGCGACGGGTCCGTGCAGAGCTCGCGGCCGATCTCGAGGGCCCGGTCCGCCGAGTGGCGGTCCCACTCCTCGGGGGGGGGCGGATCACATTTGCGGGGGCGTGGCCGCGAGGTCTGCGCCGGCCCCGCCGGGGCTCCGCCCGCGAGCGGCGAGCGGGCCCACATCTCCACGCCCTGGCGGTCTGGACTCCGGGGCGCGAGGTGCCGCGGATGCGCGGCCGCATGGGCAGGCTACGCGCGGGGTCATCGGCCTCAGAGCTGACCCTGGACCTGCCCCCCAGACCGCGCGCCAGCCACGATCTGGAGGCGGATCCAACTGCGGCGCCGAGGAACTCGGGACCCCCAGGAAACGTCCGAGCATCTCCTGCAGGCAATCAACATCTTACCCATACGCCTGCTCCAGTCAAACCCGCTCATGGGCTGGGGAGGGTAGCGCGGACAACATATCGGGGCCTCTGGAGAATAGGGAACAGGATCTCCTTCCATACCCCCATCCAACCCGCCGCTCAGAGGAAAGAACCTCTGTGGGTGATAGACACACGAACCCCGACCTTGGAGCGCAGGTGTGCAGGACTTGCGAGAAAGAAAAGGGTCAGCAGTCCATGCCCCAATCCGTCCCGCCGCTCAGAGGAGAACCTCTGGGGTTAAAACCTGCTAAAGACACGAACCCCCCCCTTGGAGCGCAGGTGGGCAGGAGTTACGACCTGAGTCCTCAGGATTAAATCATCTACGACGCCATCGGCGAATCACCGCCGCCCCTTTTGGAAACGCCCGTGCGGCCAAACGTGCGGCCGAAGTCTGTCCGATCTATTTGACTATGTGTTGCCCCAGCCGTTGTGCAACCTCTCGGGGGAACACCGGACAGAGGAAGAGAAATGAGGAGGAGAGGGAGGCGAAGGAGAAGAAGGCAAATTGAGCGGGCTTCTTGGGGGCCTATCGGGCCGTCTTGAGGCGACCTTGTGAGCTGAGTTCGGCTTCCTGAAGATCCTTCTGAGGCATGTTGAGGACCCTCATGGGTGCCTCTTGGCCTATGGAGGCCGTCTTAGGCCCTGCCTGGCCAGTCGTGGGCCCTTCTTTTGGCGCTCGAGGGCCGTCTGTCTTGGAGGTCTCTGGGGCCGTCGGCCCGCCTTGCGCCTCCTGAGCCGTCGTGGGCCCTCTTGGGCCGTCTTGCGGGCCTCTTGGGGGCCGCTTGGGCCGCCGTGGGGCGATCTCGGGGGCATATGGGCCCATCTTGGAGCGTCGGATGCCCGAGAAGGCGAGAGCGCAAACAGTCTTTACAAACCTACAGGAGATCAGCAGTGATTTCGGCCTCCTGGAGGTCCCCCCTGGAGGTCCCCCCCGGGGCTCTCTTGGGGACCTCTTGGGGGCCTCTTGGAGGCGTCTCGGAGGCCTTCTTGGGCCCTCCCTGGGCGGTCACGAGTCCCTCTTTGGGCGCTCTACGGCTGCCTTGGAAGCCTCTGGGGCCGTCTTGGGGCCGCCCTGCGAGCCTCTCGGGCTGTCTTGGAACTCTTCTCGAGCCGTCTTGCGGGCCTCTTGGCGGCCTCTTGGGCCGTCTCCAGGCGATCTTGGAGGCGCCGAAATCGGTGGAAAACCTAAAAGGGATCAGCTTTCAGCCTCCTGGAGGTCCTCTTGGAGCTCTCTTAGGGTCGTCTGGAGGACGTCTTGGAAGATCTTGGGGCCTTCCTGGGCCTCTTCGAAGCTCGCCCAGAGCCACAACTGCAATGTGTGACTGTCCCCTACCGTTAGGTCGGGCATGTCCTCCTACAGGCGGACTTCGGAGGAAAATCAAAAATAATCGAAGAACGCTCAAAACGAATCGAACATAACAGAAAAATCGTCCCCATATTATGTTTTAAACTATTTTTGGATATTCCTCCTGTAAAGGGACATGTCCGACTTAACCCTAGCGTCTTGCGCCGCCTTCGGCCGTCTGCGGCCGTCTTTCGGCCGTCTTCCGCCGGCTCCTTCTGACCTTCCGCCAGCGATTGGGGCCAGATCCGAAGGTCCCCCCCCAAGCCCTCCAGGGGGACCCTAAACGGAAACCCCGACGCGGGGTCGGAGAAGAGAACCCAAAAGCCTCCTAAAGCTTCCTTCGAACGCTTCGAAGCTCCAAAAGTTCCAAAAAGGTGGAGGATGTTGACCCGAACGACGCTGAACCCACTAAGCCCCTGGACCTCTCCCAGGGCGCGTTCTGACCTGGACGTCGAGGCGACTCCAGACCCCAGCCCTGGCCACGAGCGGCGGGACGCGGCACCGGCACCTCTCTCCTCCAGCTGGGCCTCTGCGGCGGCACGGCGAGCGAACGCCGAACGCCGACCCTGCCCCCCTAAAACAGGGCTATAGCATCGGGATACATCGCCCCATCCTCCTCCTCCTCCTCCTCCTCCTCCTCCTCCTCCTCCTCCTCCTCAGAGCGTTCCGCAGCGCTCTCCGAGCGTTCCGGAACGCTCTCAGAGCGGCCGCGGCGCCCAACACATCCTCCAGACCCGCCGATTCTCAGAGATTTCGATTTAATTATCCCGATCCGATTTTGTCCCGATCTTCGCGTCGTTTGACCCCCCTCCCCGTGGGCCCTGGAAACGACAGGGCCTCTTGTTGTGCCGGATCCGTTCTGCCTTGTGGTTGCTCCGGTTCCGGCGCCTTTTTCTTTCAGCTCCGTCGCCGTTTGTGTTGCCGGCTCCGGTTCTGGCTCCACTTCCGGAGCCGTTGTGTTCGCCGTCTCCGGTTGCGCTTCTGTTTGTTTTACCCCTTCCACTTTCAGGAGACGCTGCTTGGGAAACAATGATCAGGGGCGCGCAAGCATGGATTAGCCATCCATGGAATTGGCGCGCGGTCGCCAAATCCATGGATCGGGGGAGGTGCCTTCCCCAAAATGCGGCCAATGCCGCCTCGCTCGGCGGCGGAAATCCGCGATTTATCATGGAAACGGGACCCGTCGCTAATCCACGCCCCCTTGATCCATGTTTGCGACCGCCTGAGTTTCCGAGGCCCACGAAGCCCTCGTCCCCCCGGGAGCTCCCGGAGCTGGGCGTCGAGCCCAGGGTCGCGCGCGCCCGCTGGCTGCTGCGAGCCAGTCGCCGCCGCGGCCGGCGCCGCCGCCGCCGCCGCCGGCCCTGCCGCGGCGGGCGCGGCCACCGCCACCGCGGCCGCCGTCGCCGCCGCCGCCGCCCGTCGTCGTCGTCGTCGTCGTCGTCGTCGTCGTCGTCGTCGTCGTCGTCGTCGTCGTCGTTGTCGTCGTCGTCGTCGTCGTCGTCGTCCTCGTCGTCGTCGTGTTCGTCGTCGTCGTGCTGCCCGCCGTGGTGCTCGGCGCAGGCGGCGTAGCCGCGGCGGGCGGGGTCGGCGCAGAGCTGGTCCAGCAGGTGGTCGATCTCTCCGCGGGCGTGCTCGTCCCACTCGTGGTGCCTCGCGTGGAGCTCGTGCGCGTGCTCGTCCAGCCGCGCGCGCGAGGCGGCCCCCGCCTCGCGCGCGCCCGCGCACGCGGGGTAGTGGCTGCGGGCGGGGTCCGAGCACAGCTGCGTCTTGAGGGACGCCATCTCCTCCTGCAAGGGTCGCTCACGGCGACAGCGCGACTGCCCATCGCTCGGACGTCCACTCCCCGTGCATTGCTCGGTTGTGTGCGTGTTGTTCTCTGGTTCGCAGGATGCTCCGAGGTGCTCCTCGATGGCCCCGCCGAGAGAACGTGCGCAAGTCCGAGCGATGCTGGGGCGGCCGAGGACCAGCCGAGGCCGGCAGCGAAACCGAGACCAGTCCGAAACCGAGAGGCCGGAAGGGGGCTCAGCACTACGTTGCTCCCATCGACTTAAGGACCACATCCCAGAAATAATCTCGAGCACCCAGAAGAGTATCGAAACAATGTCGAACGAGTCTCGCCTCCCAGGGCCCGACACGCGAAAACCCTCAAGCCTCGGCACTTTCTTGGTGCTCGAAACTCTTTCTGAAGATCAAGGCTACGGAGGGTTGGAACATCATAAGCCCACAAGGGCGCAGCAGCGCGGCAACGAGACAACATCCGACCGAGCCGACCGAACCGACCGGCCGAACGCAACCGACCGCGACGCAGCCGAGCCGATCGCACCGCCCGAATCGCGGACACCCCTGTCCTGGGCGTGGTGGTCCCAGGCCTCGTCAGGAGAACCAAAAATCGAATCGACAAGTCGGATCGGAAGTCGACATGAATCGGATCGGCGGAAATCGGCAGCCGAGTCGGAAAAAGTCGAATCGGCGGAAATCGGCAGGCTAGTGTGCGTCCAATAAGAAATCGGAACCGAAATCCGAATCCCAAATGGAATCGAATCGGAATCGGAATCCATCGAAATCGAATCGAATCGAATCGGAGGAATCGAAACGAGCCCTGCCTCGTGGTCGTCGTGGAGCTTGTGCATGCGCTCGTCCAGCTCCGCGTGGGCCTCCGCGGGCGTCGCGGGGGGGGAGGGAAGGAGGAGACGGGGGGGAAAGGGCTGGGAGCGGGAGGGAGGGTGGGGAGGTTTGGAATGGGAACGAGGACGGCGGGCCAGAGTCGGGGGAGGAGGGCGAGGACGAGGGCGAGGGAGGGAGAGGGAGAAAGGGAGGGAGGAGGGAGGAGGGGGGAGAGGGAGGAGGGAGGAGGGAGGAGGGAGGAGGGGCGAGGGTGAGGGAGAAAGGGAAGAGGGAGGAGGGGGGAGAGGGAGGAGGGCCCTCCCTGGCGCGCGGAGCGCGCCAGGGGCGGCGCCGGAAGCGCCGCCAGGGGGTCCAGCGCCGATCCGAGAAATCCGCGCGGACCTCTGAGTTGTTATGTTTATGTCACTTTTTGTTCCCCTAGCAACGGTCCGCTCGTTCGTCCGTTCGCAAGCCCTGCCGCACGACACGTCAGCTAGGCAGAGGATAAAGATGCTGGCCGCGCAGGAGGAGCGGCAAGCGTACCCGCCGCAGACATGGAGTCAGGTTGCCCCCGTACTCCGAATCCCTTATTCATCGACCCCCCCATCGGGATTTGGAAGATTTGCTTGGGCAACGGCCCGTCGCGAAAAAAAAAGAGTCATGGATCTGCGGTCCTGGGGCAACGATTCCTTATATATATATATATATATATGTATATATATATATATATGGCCGCGCTTCCGAAGCAACGGCCCATGGCAAACAAGAACTGCGGATCCGCTCTACGAGCTCGCCCATCACCCAGTCAGTCTCCCGACCAGCCGGCAAGACGGCCAATCAGCACCTCTGCCAACCAACTAGCCGGCCAACCGCCAACCGTCCATCCAGCGAGCTGCCGGCCTGCCAACCAAACGGCCAATCAACCGGCCAACCAGATCGAGCAGGCCACCGGGATGGGGGAGGACAGCGGCAGAGGGCGGAGCCCTTCAGTGAACCTCCACGACGCCAACGACGACGGCAACGAAGACGGCGGCGACGGCGGCGGTCGTCATGCCATGCCTCGAACATCGAGCCTCGAGCCTCCACTGCCCTCGGACCTCGGAGCTCCATGCCTCGGCGGCGCGCGGCGGGCGCCGCCTCCGCGGGCGTCGCGCCGTGCAGGTGCGCGCAGGCGGCGTAGCCCTGTCTGGAGGGGTCCGCGCAGAGCCGCTCTCGGAGCTCGCGCAGCTGGTCCTCGCCGCCGCCGCCGCCGCAGCCGCCGTCGTGGGCGGCGGCAGGGGGCCTTCTCAGAAGGCAACTGCACAGCACCGTGCCATGCCCTACAGGGCGAGGCAGGGAGGGTCTAGACGCCATCGAAGGGGCCCAAGATGGCCAGGCATGATGGTGTTGTGTGCGCGCCGTCTGCAGAGAGCGTCGGACGTCGTCGTCGCTGACGCTATCGCCGTCACAGTGGCCATCGTCGCCGCCGTTGTCGTGTTCGCCGTGGCCGTCGTCGCCGTCGTCGCCCTCCTCTTCCTCCTCCTTCCCTGCCTCCTCCTCCCCCCTGCTCCTGCTCGTCGTGCTCCCTCACCCGCCGGGGCAACGCGATTGGCGATCGACCAGCCGGGGGCCGCGGTCCTTCGCGGCGTGGTCCCACTCCTCGGCCGCCGGGGGTGGGGGGGACAGGCGGCGGAGACACTCACGGAGCCGTGTGCCGCCGGATTCCCACCTGCAGGGCCACACGGGGCATCGGCGCTCCTCGGCCTCACGAGCCGCATGGACTCCAGAGGCCACGTCGGCCCCATGCACCCTGGCCGTAGAGGCCACCACGAGAGCTTCCCTGGCCGCGCTGCCCTGCTCGCCTTGCCTTGGGCTGCCAAGCCACTGCCTCGCGCTGAACTGCTCCAGCACACTTCTGCAAAGTCATGGGGAGTAGGGAGTGAGAAGGACGAGGGGTAGCAATAGGAAGGCAGAGGAGCGTCTTCGGGTCCGCCGCCCCCTTTGGGATCAAGAAGCGTGTGAGATACCCCCCACCTAGACCCTCCCCAGCACCAGGCCAATTATTATGCCTTTGATGGGGCTAACCCGACTCCCACTAGCACGGATTCCCTGCCAGAAGGGGCCAGTGGATGTGGCGTCGTCAGCCTGCCGTTTCTGGAGGGCATGGAACGCACAGCTCGTCGACTGAGCGCTGCCCCGTCAGGTGCACGAGACGTCCCAACAACACGCCGGAGATAACACCCGAGTCTCCAAGCGTTCCAGGAGCAAACGAGCTCGTTGGGATCAAGTGTGGCAAAATGTCAGACGTGCCGATATTCGCCCTGCGACGGCAGCGGCGCGCCCGCGATGCAGCCCAGCTGGTTCCTCGTGGCGGGCCTGCAGGCTGTGCATCTGGTCCACAAACTCGGATTCGTGCTTCGCTATGTCTCCGGCGCTGCTCGCGTGCGGACGCGGCACATCCTGCCACTCGGGGCACGCGCGGCGGCAGTGACACTTGGAAGCACCAGAGCACCTGACTAGACGACAGCGGCAATGACAAAAGAAACAACACACCGACAGCGGCAACGATCTCCGCTATGATGGTCTCAACCACGACCACAATGAAGAAAACTATCACGCACTCTGCTCACGAGGTATCTAACACATCTAACATACACGTGCACACGCGCACGCAGAAGTACTCACTCACGCAAGAACGATGTCCACCCACCTGGACCACGACATTCGTGTGGCTCTAAAGCTCGCCCAAATCGGTCGGAGACGAGACATCCTCTGGACCATGGGTCATAATAATGCGGGAAAACGGGTGAGCTACGTCCTTCCGAGTGCAAGAAGCGAGCTGGGCGATTGCAGCCGTTACGTGGCCACAAAAACATCGGTCAAGAACATGACCTCCTGGACCGAAAGCTCAAGGCCTCATTGAAGTGCCCGACCCGAAGAACACTCGAAGGTTCCCAAACACGAGAGACGTTAGAATACCCCAAGCCAGATTGTTCTGTCAAGCGCATGTCAGCTACATATGCAGTACGCGCTTTTCTTCGCACCCTAGACACTGACCCAGGATCTCCCCCCGATGACAACACCTCTGGCAGCAGCGACTGCAACATCAGTCCGCAACGAGAGTAGCATGAAACTGAGCAACAACGATGGAGCCAACGATGAAACTGTCTGGCGCAAGCGCAAGGACAATGGCAAGAAGCACTGCAGCGACAACATCTTCATCGGCGGCATTGTTGCGAGGCTGTAGTTTCTACATATCCAATGCATGGAAAGGTCTTCGAGGAAGGACCCCAGAGGGCGGTCTGTTTTGGGCCCAGGAGCCCTGAATACATCCATATCTCCAGATCCACCGCCCACCGAGGGGTCCAGGAAGATCGGTTCCCCAGGCGGTACAGAATGGGAATGACGTGTTCTTTCGGGCAAAAAGTTGCCGTCAGCGCTGGCCCGAATGAGCAGGAGAACTGGCTTCCGGGGGAGCGCGAGAGGCGAGTGCCCGCCGACGGGCCAGAGCTGAAGCCTTCCCTTCGATTGATGAGGCTCAGGCGTACGAGCAGGCAACAGCTTCACAGATGGATGGCGGGTCGCTTCCAAAATGTGGCTCGCGCCTCAGCGCCGCGCACATTCGTTTTAACCAGTTGCAAGAGCTTCACGGATTGAGGCCAGGTCGTTGTCAACATGTGGATCTTCCCCTGGCGCCGCGCACATTAGTTCTGTGACTTTGCAAGGGTTTCATGGACTCAGGGCGGTTCGCTTTTTGATTGTGGCTCTCGCATTAGCGCCGCGTACATGCTATGTTAAAATGCGAAAGGGCTTCACCGAGTGAGGGAGGTTCCTTTTCAAAATGTGGCTAACGCCTTATCCCTCGCGCACATTCGTTCAACAAAATGCCAGAGTTTCAATGCTTCCCAAAGTTAACGTACCAGAAATGGTGTGTGGAACGATTCATGCTTGTCAGGGCGCAGCCGTTACGTTGATTCGCGGTGTTGCAGTCCGAGGAATGGCGTTCTAGTACGATTCAGGATCGCCAAGACGAAACAATCAGGTTGACTTGTGGCGCTGGAGTCATGAGAATGGTGTTCTGGCACGCTTCAGGATCTTCAAACGGTTGTCTCCCAACAGGGTTCTTCCCCCAGTGGAAATGAATCCTTGCAGAGGCCTATGAAGAGGGAGCTTGGAGGCAGGGTGCATTCCAACATCGATGATGAGTCTTGGGTTTACACTGATCCTCGTACATCTCCTCCTCCTCCTCCTCCTCCTCTCCCCTCCTCCTCGTTCTCCTCCTCTGCCCTAAGTGCGTTCCCGCGCGCGCGGGAGTGCCATCGAGGGAACGAGCGCGCGCGGAGGAGGAGGAGGAGGAGGAGCAGGAGGAGGAGGAGGGGGAGGAGAAGGAGGAGGAGGAGGGGGAGGAGGGGAGGAGGGAGGGATCGAGGAAGGAGGCGGAGGGAGGAGGGAGGACAGGAGGAAGGAGGGGGAGGAGGGCGGGAGGGAGGGGGGGAGGGACAAGGAGTGAAGGAGGGAACGAGATAATAAGGAGAGCGGAGTGCAAGGAAGGTGATGTCCATTGATGTATTGCACACGTGTTGGGGCAACCCTTCCGTACCCTTTTGCATGCACATCGTCAACAGTCAATCAGGCCAAAAGAAGTCCCGCCAGGGAAGAAACGTCAATCCGACACTGACAACAAATGCAACGATCTGATTTCATCGTGGACACGTGAAAATGGTTCAGGCATCCGTGAAGCTGGCGCGTGGGGCCAGATCCACGGATCGAGGAACGTACGCCCCGGAAACGTGAGGCCAATGCTGTCTCCGATTCGGCGACGGAGCGCGCCGATTACCGCACGGAAACGGGGCCCATCGCGATTCCACGCGCCACGATCCATGATTGCGCTCCCTTTCGGGTCGGGCGAAAGGGGGGGATAGCAAAGGGGGGGGGTTGAGAATCAGCTCACGTAGCTGATTTTCCCGGCGCCTCCCGGCGCCGGAGGCGGGCGGCCATGTATCGAGGAATGGGCACCTCGGTGAGGCCGAAACCAGCTGCATGCAGCAAATATCGTAACCCCCCCTTTCCCAATCCCCCCCTTTCGCCCGGCCCGATCCTTGTGTCCATCGTCCGGCTCGACCCGGCTACACGCAAGAGGTGACCCTGGGCAAGAGCGACCTTTAGCGAGCGGAGCAAGGGGGGGCCGACGGTGGCCGAATCCGAGCGCGCAAGCAGCCCCCCCATCGCATCGCGTCGCGCGATGCGATCGGGGGCGCCCCGGTGAGCCCGCACCAAAGGGCACTCCGGCAAAAGGTCACACTTACACGTCGGTCGGAAGAAGTAGATAAAAGCATGAAGTAGGAAGGCGGATTAAGTTGTTTGGGTCCAGACCCCCCCAGAGAATAACAAAACACAGCAAAAGCGTGTCGATTCTTGAAGTAGGAAGGCGCTTGAAGTTGATTGGGATCTGGGGCTCCAAAAATACCTACTTTCAACGACCGGCGTGTACATGTAGTCGATGGATGGTCCCAACTTGGTCGGAGCATGCCACCCCCCGTCCTTGCAGATGCTGTAGCCCTGGCGGGCGGGGTCCGAACACAGCTCGCGCTTCAGGCCCGCCATGCGGTCTCGGGCCGCCGCGTCCCACTCGATGTGCTTCGCCCGCAGCGCGCGCACCTGACGTTCCTCCTGCGGCGGCGCAGATCGTCGCCGTCGTTGCCGACGTTGTCAACGTTGTCGATGTCGTCGTCGTCGTCCCCGTCCCCATTGCCGTCGTCGTGCTCCTCCTCCTCCTCCTCATCATCATCCTCGTCCTCCTCCAGATCATCCTCCGACTGCTCCAACTTCGCCTCCTGCTCCCCCTCCTCGTCCTCCACCTCCTCCTCCTCCATATCGTCCTCCTTCGTCTCCTCATCCACCTCCTCCTCCATCTCCTCCTCATTCGTCTCCTCCGCATGTCCAAACAAAATCAGAATGAACGGTTCAGTTCAGATGGTACCCCGGCATGGTTCAGAATGTTCAAACGGTTGCCCTCCAGAGGGACACTCCCCTCAATCGAAATGCATCTTTCCAGAAGCCTATAGAGGAGAAGCGTGGAGCGACATCGTTGATGAATATTGGGTTTGCACTGGTCGTCCTTCTCCTCCTCCTCCTCATCATCATCATCATCACCACCACCGCCACCATCATCATCATCATCGTCATCATCATCATCAGCATCATCAGCATTGTCATCATCATCACCGACATCATCATCATCATCACCATCACCATCAGCATCCTCATCGTCGTCGTCATCATCATCAGCATCAGCATCAGCATCATCATCAGCATCATCAGCATCATCATCATTAGCATCATCGCCATCGACATCATCATCAGCAGCAGGATTATCATCATGGTCATCGTCATCATCGGCATCATCATCATCGGCATCAGCATCATCATCATCAGCATCCTCGTCGGCGTCCCGATCCTCATCATCATCAGTCAGCAGCAGCAGCAGCGATACCATCATCATCATCATCATCCTCCTCCTCATCCTCATGCTCATCAGCATCAGTATCATCATCAGCATCATCAGCATCCCCATCATCATCATCACTACCATCATCAACATCACCACACCCACCATCATCATCATCATCATCATCATCATCATCATCATCATCATCATCATCATCATCATCATCGTCATCGTCATCGTCATCACCATCATCATCGTCAGCAGCAGCTTCCTCATCTCCTGAGTCTTATCCTCGGTGTCATCAGCTTCATCGTCAGCATCAGCATTTTCATCCTCATTATCATCGGCACCACCACCACCATCATCACAACCACCCCCCCCATCATCAGCAACAGCATCATCATAATCAGCATCAGAATCCTTATCATCGTGGTCGCAGTCGACACTACTACCACCACCACCAGCATCGTCGTCGTAATCATCATCGTCATCAGCAATAGCATCAGCATCATCATGGCAATATCAGCAGCATCTACACGGTCAACACCATCATCAGCGGTAGAAGCAGCAGGAAACCTCTCCAGCACCATCACAGTCACCATCGTCATAGCCATCGACATCCTCGCCGTCGGCATCGCCATCGTCATCGCCATCACCAGCATCAGCATCATCATCATCATCATCACCGTGATCAGCATCATCATCACACTCATCATCATAATCAGCAGCATGATCACCAACATGATCCACGTGCCCATCTGCATCCTCATCATCAGCAACTCATCATACTCATCATCAGCATCATCAGCATCACCACCACCACCATCATCATGGTCATCATCACCAGCATCATCATCACCGGTAGCAGCAGCATAATCAGCATCAGCAGCATTATCAGCAGTATCATCATCAGCAGCAGCATCATCATCACCATCACCATCGTCATCAACATCATCATCAACATCATTCGCATCATCATCAACATCAGCATCAGCACCGGCATCAGCAACCGCATCAGCATGATCATCAGCATCAGTCAGCACCTGAATAATCCATCATCATCAGCATCAACATGAGCAGCCGCAGCATCATCCATCATCATGAGCATCAGCGTCAGTTTTCTCAGCGTCATCATCAGCAGCATCATCATCAGAATCATCATCAGTATCAGCATCACCATTCTCACCATCATCGTCATCAGCATCTTCATCCTCATCAGCAGCATAGTCGTCATCATCATCATGATCGTCATCAACGGCGTCATTATCATCGTCAGCATCAGCATCCTCATCAGCATCATCATCAGCAGTGTCATCATCAGCAGCATTAGCATCAACATCAGCAGCAGCATCATCATCCGCATCATCATACCCATCAGCATCGGCATCAGCATCGGCATCAGCATCAGCAGCAGTAGCATCATTATCAGCATCATCATAACCATCTGCTTCATGATCAGCATCTTCAGCATCAGCATCATCGTCATCATCAGCATCATCACCATCAGCATCAACATCATCATCATCATGATCATCATGATCACCATCATAACCATCATTTCCATGGGACTCATTATCATCATTGGCACCACCATCACGAGCATCACCATCAGCAGCATCATCATCAGCATCAGCATCATCATGATGATCAACAGCATCATCATTATTATGAGTTCCTCCTTCACCATCATCAACAACATCAGCACCGGCATCCTAATCAGCATCCTCATCACCATCAGCATCACAAACATCTCCAGTATGATCATCAGCAGCATCATCAGCAGCAACATCATCGACATCATCAGCATCAACATCACCATTATCATACTCATCATCATCATCATCAGCATCAGCATCATCTTCATCATCGTCATCATGAGAAGCTGCAGCATCATCAGCATCATCAGCAGCTTGAATTTCATAGCCATAATCATCAACGTCATCCGCATCAACATCACCAGCCACATCCTCCTTATCATCACCATAAGCATCATCATCATCGTCATCACAATCAGCAGCAGCAACGACAGCATCAGCATCAGCATCGTTATCATCAGTAGCATTATAAGCATCAACATCATCCGCATCAACATAACCATCAGCATCAACATCCGCATCCTCAGCATCATCAGCAACAGCATCATCATTATCATCAGCATCCCCATCATCGTCATCATCAGCAGCGGCATCATCATCAGCATCAGCATCATCATCAGTATCATCAGTATCATCACCATCATCATGATCTTTATCGGCATCTGCATCATTAGCATCAACATCAGCATCCTCATCCTGAACCTCATCCTCATTGTCATCATCAACATCATTAGCATCTTCATCACCATCGTCATCATCAACATCATCAGCATCCATATCATCGTCCTCGTCCTCATCATCACCAGCATCAACATCATCAGCAGCAGCAGCATCAGCTCCAGCATCAGCATCATCAGCAGCGCCATCAGAATCACCAGCTGTAGCAGCATCAGCAGCAGCAGCAGCATCAGCATCAGCATCAGCATCATCATCATCATCATCATCATCACCATCATCATCATGTTCATCAACATCAGCATCAACATCATCATCATCATCAACATCACCATCGTCACCCTGATCCTCATCATCAGCATCACCATTACCAGGATCCTCAACGTCTTCATCCTCATCATCAGCGACATCCTTATCATCATCAGTTTCAGCATCATCCTCTTCAGCATGAGCATCATCAGCAGCATCATCATCGCTGGTCTCATCAGCATCATCAGCATCATCATCAGTTGCAGAATCGGCATCATCATCAGCATCAGCAGCATCATCAACAGCATCAGCATCATCAGTATCCAAAGCATCATCATCATCACCATCAACAACATAGTGATCAGCATCATTCGCATCCTCAGCATCATCATCGTCATCGTCATCATCGTCATCGCCAACAACATCATCAACATCAACATCACCAGTATCAGCCTCATCATCACCGGCATCATGATCAGCATCTTCATCAGCATCATCAACAGCAGCATCATCATCAGCATCAGCATCAGCATCATGATCAGTTTCATGGTCGTCA